GCTGTTTACTTGGCTATCTAAGCAAATACAGCAACTGATTATCATTCGTTACATATCTGCGCCGCCTAGTCGATCCAGCGACAGACAACGTTGACGTGGATCAAACACAAAATGCGCTGGTCGCTCCAAAACACATTACTTTGAAGAAGTGCGTCTTCCCAACTTACTGTTTCGTGGACTCTAAGGGTTATTTGCCTAACGCTGTACATGAATTACATCATATTTCGACCAGGAAGAACTTACAGCAAAAATTGTTGCAAGTGGGCTTTTCGTTCCTCGTTTTCTATTTGCAGATCGTCACGAAGGGGAAGCTCTCGCATCAGTTCATCGTTTAACTCTACAAATAAAATGGATGTGGAGTTTCAAATACAAAACTGATAAGCAATATATATTTTCCTCGATCAGGTCGAAAACTTTTCTCCGTGTACTGTAACTCGAATGACTTTTTTACTAGCAGTTAATTTCTCTAACTGCTCTGGACCAAAACCTCATCGCGAAGGAAGCTTTGTCAATTCGCTAACTAAAATGTTAAAAAAAGGGAGGAGTACCTCGTGGGGCCGCCTGGGGAGCATGCGATGCGCGCCCCTTAGGCTCACGGGCACCTGATTTTAGAAGAGAGGAGGGACGGGGCATGTCAGGAAACAAATTAGATCGCAATAATCCTATAAAATAAAAAAAGTTACGGGGCAAGTTGGGGCTCGTACTCAAACCTCGGGCGAAGACACTGAAATAGGCTTTAATATCATCACTAACACCGCGACGGACCAACGGCGAGCGCGCGTATGTCGGGGGAGCGTGCCCCAACCTCGGGCGAGGTCATTGGGGAAAATTTCCTAATAGAACTACTAACTCCAACTAGAATAAAGGTGAATGAGTGAAGAAGGTTTGACGATTGTGCAATTCACCCTACTTAACATTTGTAAGTAATCGATTATTCCCGTAGTTAATTTGAAAAGCCATTTTCCTGAAATTACTGACTTAAGCGGTTTTTGTATGCGAAGGGCTTCGGAGGACCCCTATGTAGTTCAATGCCATCATGGAATCCCTTCTGGGTCGACGGCCGGCGTTCAGAAAACAGGAAGATTGCGAGTAATTCAGCCTACTTAAAATCTGTAAGTAGGTAGTTACGTTGCATAAGGTCCTTCTGAAGACCCTACAAGGAATCCTTACCAAAAAAACTTCCAAATCTGGTAGGAGTTCTTTGGGAAAATGTTGTTTATTGGGTGAATTTTCGGCACTGGTTCACCAGGTCGTCTTCAGACGGATGGGAATCGTAAGAAACAGTTAATCCACAAAGGGACCAGCTGGAAACACTGCACCACATTATTAACTCAACGGTGCCAGGCATCACGTTCATTCTAGAAAAAGAAGTTGACAGCAAACTGCCATTCCTCGACGTCCTCATACGGCGGAACACTGACGGAAATTTCCAAACATCGGTTTACCGCAAAGAAACGCACGCAGATATCATTCTGCACTACAAAAGCAACCACCCTGTTGCTCACAAACGAATTGCCGTTAACACCCTAATCAATCGAGCAAGAACACACTGTTCTAGTCCCGAACTCTACCACGCCGAACTCAATTACTTGTTCAAACTGTTTTCAAAAAACGTATACCGCAGGAAGTTCGTGCGTCGATGCATGAGATGGCAACAGTTGAAACAGAAAGAAAAGGAACTAGGTTGTTCCGCTCAGACACCCAATCCACGAACTTGGCGAACACTTCCCTATATTAAGAACGTGTCTGAACTCGTTGAAAGACACCTGAGGAAGCACCAAATCCAAGTAGCGCACAAACCGACCAATACTCTGCGAAATCAGCTTGTACAACCTAACGACAGGGTTAGCTATTTGGACAGAAAGGAAGTCATTTACAATATCCCCTGTAGCGGCTACAATGCAGTTTATTGCGGACAGACAGGAAGATCAGCCTCTACCCGCTTACGCGAAAATCAAAGAGCAGTAAAGGGGCACTATCTCTTGTCTGAAGTCGCCATGCACACAACTGAAACTGGACACCAGTTTGCGTGGGGCAAAACTCGCATTGCTGGCTT